AACTACTTCTATACAACGAAAGGAGACTGCGACCACCCAAAAGGCCACACCATCTTGGTCTTCATACCTTTGCTTAAATATTATTGTTCACATCACATAAATCAATAAGTTCATTTAACTATACATGGAATATCTTGCTCTAAATACTTTTAGACGCTGAAAAACTTTTAAAGTTTTTAAGGACTTTTATATTGTTCAAGAAACTCATATGCAAATATATGTTATATTTTATTATGCTACTCAGGTCAAATCTGAATTGGAGATCGAGAAACGCAAATAATTTTCTTATTGAATTTTTAATCTACTAGTATCATTAAGGAGTTGATCATGGCATGGTGGTTTTAACTATTTATATATAAACATTATATGTTGCATTACACAAGGTTAATTAGGTAAGTATTGAAGCAGAAACATTAAATGGCGCATACCATAAAACGTTCAAATTGAAAATCCATATTATAAACTGGCTAAGTATATCCAAAAAAAATAATTTTAGGTTATTTGTGTGAATTGTTTATACCTTTATTATGACGCGCAAAAATAGACTGCTATGAAAGACTTATTTCGCTCTCATTGATAGATGCCTACCTTTGTTTTTTCATACCCTTTGGGATGTATACATTTATGCACCAAAGAAATTGATTCCTTTGCATTTTTCGATTGATTTTATGCTTTTTATATCTATTGCACCATACAAGTATGGATTTCATAATCACCTTTACTCTGTAGCCATACAATTTATGATGATAACCGATCAGGAGCTTAAGGTGTCACGTATGGCGAAGCGATCACAGAGCAAAAAACTTTTCAGTAGAGATAATTACAAACTTAGAGAATTTGTTCTGACTCCATACTGTATAAAATACTTTGAAGTCAGTGGTGGGGTATGTTATTCTGAACTCATTTCCTTCAGAGTAGAGGCAAAGAAAACGGAAAATTTCTCCTTGGGCACATTAAGTACATTGAGAAAGTGCAAGATGATGAACTCGATAATAAGAAGAATGTTTTTCAGGTTTGGCTCTTTCTCAATTATTTTTCTAGATTGCTTATGTTGAGGACTCTGTTAGCACAAGCTGGTCTATTATGTACATAGTTGCTGGAACAGCTATTGAAAGAGATGATTGGATAAGCCTTGTTAGATATTGTGAGTCCTATATTTCCCATTAATCAATAATATAACATTTGTTTTGACTATATAAATTTTAATGCAATTTTTTAATCTAACTTTCTTGCTTGCATTTAGACTCTAAAGAGAGAGGGGCAATTTTTTTGCCTAAGTATCATCCCGGGATATGGAAAAAACCCGGCCGCCATAGTTGTTGCGATGACATCAATCGGCGCTCTATGGGCTGCCAAGCCACTATTGAACCCGGTCTTCCCATTTTAATAGAGGAGCATCAACTTCCTCGACGGTCCTCTTCGTCTGCAAACACTGCGCATAACAATGCTAGTAGTAGCACGAGCACTACAAACAGTGGAGGAAGTGTAACTTCGAATCCTACTTCAGTCAACTCGCCTAGCAATTCTATGCCAACGGCTGTCGTGGCTCAATTGCAGCACGTAAGACTCCCCCTTTATCACTTTACCATAAAATTTCTTATACAAAAACGTATATCTTTTTAACATCTGCTCTTATGAGTGCTTCTAGCGTAAAACAGATCTCAATTTTGTCTTCACTTTAATTTTGGTAGGTTCAACCATCACAACCACAGACGCAAATTATTGTCGCCAGTGCAGGTAACCAAAACATTATCCAGAATGCAAGTGTG